CAATGTCTTTTTCTTTACTCTAGTTACAATATAGAAGACGTTTGAAAGCAAATAAAGAGAGAGAAAAACGACAAAAGATGGTATGTACCTTATTTATTCAGCGTTGAATATTTCTGTAAGTATCGCTTTTGTGGTTTGGTTGACGGAACAAATCTCTGCCCACGTGATTGTTGTTGTCTGTTTAAATCTGGTGAAGCATAAATTTTCAACCTTAAAACATTTTTAGCATATGTATGCGAGCGGTTTCAATCAGTCGTCTTGAAACAAAAACGAAGTATGTAGAGTAATTTTCAACGGAGGCTCGTAAATATTCCAGGATTACATTGGTTTTGTTTTACATCGGTCTGTGTTTGGTCCGGTCTTGAGCTATGTCTAAACCAATCAGACGCCAAATGAACACCACTCGTGACTTGGCCGCCCGCGTTTTCCCGCTCTTTTCGTAGTCAGCCTGAATTGCTTTCAGTCCTCATTGGCCAATGATGACACAAATCTTTGTTATGATTGGCTGTTGCGATTACTTTGGGTTTTGGTTTTAAGACACTCAATTGTAAACTGTTCCAAGACATCCAATCAAAACAAGAAAAAATATCGCCAGGAAAAACCGAAGTTAAAACCAACGACTTGTCTCTTGGAAGCGCGGGAAAACTCCAATGAATTGGCGAAGTAGAGTAAAAGTAATTAAATCGTGAATTGTCTTACATCTCAAGAAATGATGTATTTTGCAATGAAACGAAAATGTGTGGTTTTTTCCGTAGCGGGATGCTCCTCTCTGGACACCAAGTGGACAATTTAGCCCTCATGCTATAACTAACACACCTTCAGCTGTTGTCTCTCCTCGACAAGAGGCTTACGCCATGCGAAAGCAAGCTATGTCCTATAGTGCTGGCAGTTCAGAAGCAGCTAATAAGGTAAAAATCTTAACGCGAGCGGCTCACACAGTCAGAGTTTAGCCTGGTTTAGTATTAAGCGAGCACGAGTATTGACATTCCCTTTGAATAGGATGCATGTTCATCTGTGGTTACCCCCACCTCTCCCCCCCTTGCGTGTTTCGTGTTTCCTTGGCTGCCCAGCAGTACCTAAGAACGCAACTCAGTGATCAGTATGTGAATTCTCCATGCTGTTCTCTATACATTTCTTAAGGTGCTGACAAGGAGATTTTGAATGATCATCAAGAGTTTCCTAAAATGTTTATCATTTTAGGTATTCTCGTAACCTTAATGTTTGATTCAGGGGTGTATTGCATCTAATTAAAGGAGAGGGGGGCGTGAGTTATCTTAGGGCCTAATCTTTTAATGCTGATAGTATTTATTGACTAAGATGCTTTATTTGGTTTTGTAGAGTGCTGCAGCAAATCTTCGAGCCATGCTTGCAACACCATCTCCTGATGCTAATACGGTGAGTAGATCGCGAGGCAAACTAATCGTTCACACAAAATTGTCCGTTTAATTTTCATTATTTAATGATTAGAGCCATCTTGCACCGCATGCTTTCATCTACAACGACCTTGCATGGCGCTGTAATCTGTACCACATGAAAGTACTGCTCAGGAGCTTTCACTTGATTGGTGACGCACCCGAGTATCGTCCATAGGCTTTGGAAGTTGGAACCATCTTATATACAGCACAGTAAACAGTACCACACGAAATTTCTGCTCAGTAGCTTTCATTTGAATGGTAACACGTTAGGGTTTCTTCCACAGACTTGCAAGTTTGAACCACCTATGGTATAATGTGCATTATAAAATAATTCAAATAGTACGCGCGCTCTGATTGGCCATAAAACCATTTTACATGAGCGTATTTAAACACGGTTTTCGTTCCTCTTTCATTAGTTATTTTATAAAAGAAATGTAAAATGGTTTCCGTGTTTACATAGCCTCGATAAACTGGAAACCACTCCGCTTCGCGTCGTGGTTTCTTACGCTTATCTCGTGTTCTCCCAACCTCCCGCGTGTTTACATCAGGCTATGTAAACACGGAAACCATCTTACATTTCTACAATGACACAAGAAAGTACTTCTCAGTTGCTTTCATTGTAATGGTCACTCAATAGGGTTTTACCTTAAGATAAAGCTCTAACTACCTGGCATAGCTCTATGTAAACAGTACCACGTGAAAGTACTGCTCAGTAGCTTTCATATCAGTGGTCACATGCCTGGGTTTTATCATAAGACAAAGCTTGAATCACCTTGCATAGCACTATATAAACAGCACCAAATGAAAGTACTGCTCAGTAGCTTTCATTTGAATGGTCTCACATTAGAGTTTCATTTACGGACTTAAAAGTTAGCGTGTCTTCAAACCGCAGTACATAATGCATTCGTATTTAAATCAAATGGTCTTTGCTTAGGTATTTTTCTGATTTTCCTTTCAAAATTAGTCTTCTTCAAGTACGCCAAACTCGAATCCAGCATCAAACAAGAGAAAGCATGAAGAGGAAGACGAGGAACCTAAAGATGATATTCGGTAAATAAACTTCCTCATACATCATTTAGATGATCAGCGCAGAAGTTAATAAGCAGGAGGGCGTATGACACGCGCGCGAGAGAGTATACACTTCTCTCCGCGCTTTAATTCTCGCGTTCACGTATTGGTATAACTCACTTTAATAATTTAACGCCTGTTAGGTGATGTTATTGTGTAATAGACTAAACGCCGTAGGTATTTGCCACTTTAATCCGTCCCTTGAAGTAATAGGAATGTCCCAGCACCCGTGAACTATAGGAAGCGCTTCCCAGGGTTCACGTGGCGCCGTCATGCGTTGACATGTGTACAAGATGACAGACGTACAGACTGGGTCTGGAATTCGGTTTTCGGTTTTGTTTTAAGAGAAAACTGTGGAGTTTGATTCTTTTTTCTCAGGTTATGGGAGGCAGGATGGAAAGGCCGTTATTACAAAAACAAATTTCAACTGTCTGAAGACGATGAAGGTTATGATGACTTCAGGAAGAAAGTGGTAAGTTCCTGTGTTCATTCAAATGTTGAGGGATTTGACAAGCCCTCGGCTGGCTCGCTTTTCAACCAACACATTCTGCTTTTAAAGTGTTTCCGTAAGTTTAGGAATTTTTGGTAAATTGTCTTGGAAACTTATCGAAGTGCTTAGTTCTTCCTGTGGTGAACTGGTATTCTTTGAAATGGCTTGTGTAGCAAGCCGGGTCGTTTATTATTGTCCTCTTTAAGTGACGTGCGGTTGGGGATTGTAAAGTATGCGGCAAAGGATGATGGGATTTCGCGCGACCGCGGGTCAATTAAGACGACTTGGGATGATGTTAGTAGAACTATGGAAACTTCTCATCATTGTCAGTCTAATAGCTTACTTTGTATGAAAGGAGAAAACCATAAATTAACTAACTTACGATTGGAATTTAAGGAAGATTTTTTTTTCACGAGCTTAAAAAATCATTAGTTCGACTTACTAAGGTCTAGAAAGTATCCGTTGTCACTTTGAATCTTTCAGGCACACGCCTATGTGGAAGGACTCTGTTGGGTTTTACTTTATTACTATCAGGTAAGTCAGGTTATATGTAATCCAGGATTGCGTTGGTTTTTTTCACATCGCTCTCTAATTGGTCTACAAAACTTGCGCCACCTTCTCAACCAATCAGATTACAACTAAAAATAATCGCCTCTTGGTCGCCTGCGTTTTCCCGCGCCTCAGGCAGTTTGCGTGGTTTTTAAATTTCAATTTTTTCTCTTCCTTTCTTCCCTTTGTATTATTTTTGTATTCACGCGCGACGCACGTGATTTCACAAATAAGCCAATCACGTCAAAGAATTCTAACCATGACATTGGAAAACTGACGTGGACATTTTTCGCGTACTTTTTGTTTTGTTTTCGCGGAGTTTTAGTCAGTTGTTTTTTAGCTTTCGTTCGCGTAGATTTGTTACCCCTCTGTTTGGAATTTCAAGAAGTTTCGGAGTTCTTATTTTAGTCAAATGTTGTTGTTCTTTTAACAAGTGTGATACATACATTAAGTTTAATACATACATATTACGGGAATAGGACTCTAGCCTCTTTTTTCGTAAATGGATTTTATACATTTGGTTTCATGACAATAAATCGAAAAGCGCTAAAAGGTCAGTTTCATCATTTAGTTTACGTTTTTTTTTTCAGGGCTGTCCTTCTTGGAAGTGGTTTTATCCATATCATTACGCTCCCTTCGCCTCAGATTTCCGTGACCTTGCATCACTTCCAAATTCTTTTGAAAAAGGAACACAACCGGTGAGAATTAATGGAACAAAACCGAATTAAAACCTGAAAAAATGTTTTATTTTGTTTCACTGTGTTAAAATAATAAGTGCGCTTAATCGCTCATGCACCTGCGCGCGTTCGAAAACTTGAGAGCATACGCGCGTGTACTTACGTGTTTGTGTGTGTTCGGGCTGCCGTTGCATTGTGGTCCCGTTCCGCCACTTAAAACATCGAGTTAAAAACTCTTGTCAGGAATAAAACTGTAGGATGAGGGAGGTCGGAGTTGCTATTCCTTGTATCTACCCTGTAAATCCCTTGGACGTGAGCTCTATGTTTAAATGTCGCGCTATTTAATTCACATTCTTCTTTTCTATTTTGCACTGACAATTCCTTTGTATTTTACTTGAGCGAAGAAGCGAATAAACTGTTAGATCGACGTGTTTGTTATTGGTGAAATGATGACTCTGTTCTTTTACAAGCTCCGGCTTTAAGACTATGCTGCAGTGCTTAATTGTGCGCACAGCTATCGCGCATAAATTATGCGCTCCGAAAAATGTGTGGTACATTACTGAGGAAGTCTAAAGGTAGTTTCTAATATGTTATTTTTATTAATTTTTTTTTCAGTTTAAGCCTCTGGAGCAACTGATGGGAGTATTCCCAGCTGCCAGCGGAAACTTTCTTCCTCCAACCTGGAGAGAGCTGATGTCTCACCCAGTAAGTATCGTTTGTATCGTAATCTTATTTTCTTCATTAACAATTCTGGATTTTGTTTATAGGAAACGTAGTGTATGAAGAATATTGCGGAGAATTTATAACAAGATCTGGGGAGTAAGAGACTCTACTGAACGCATTTTGATTCGCCTTTCAGGAGTCGCCGATTATTGATTTCTACCCACTGGATTTTGAAATCGATCTCAATGGGAAGAAATACGCATGGCAAGGTAAAGTAGGCTAAACCAATCAGATGCAAAATTAGAACCGCTCGTGACTCGGTCACCCGCGTTTTCCCGCGCTTTCCCGCGCTTCAGCCATTTTTATTAGTTTTACTTTGAGTTCTCGCTTCGCTTTGATTGGCTGTTGTGGTTTTGATTTTACGACACTCAATCAAAAAGTGCTCTGCACTGTGACCTCACATGTTTATCGTTGTTCTCTTTCAAGGTGTAGCCCTGTTACCGTTTGTTGACGAGAAGAGACTTCTCGGTGCTCTCAGTGGAGTATATCCAGATCTCACAGACTTTGAGGGTAAGTTTGATTCATCCCTTCTTACATAAATGGTAACTTGCTCTTGCCTGCATACTCATGTGTTTGTATAAGGTAACTTTCAATGCAACCACCAAGAGTTTCAATCATTCGATAATTTTTTGACGATCCTTGATAACTATGATGTAAAACAGACTCGTCTTTTTCGTATCTTTCTATTGAATTCCTTCTGTTAATCCTTAAACCCCTTAGAGAGATCAATATCTAATTTCTCCTTGCAATATCATCCCTGACTCTAACACTAAGGTCATTAGAATAAAGGAAATGATCATCGACTAAAGAAGCTCTTGATTGTTAAACAAATTCTCCTTGTCAGCACCTTAGGAAATGTATAGAGAACAGTATGGAGAATATGCATACTGATCTTAGGATGTAAAGGGTTAATCAGATCTCATAATCTGCCAAGAAACGTTTGTACATCGTCTGTATGGTGTTCCGAACTTCTCTGCCAATCAATAGTGCCAATGACTTCTCGCTTTGTTAACAACCTCATAGCTGCTCTTCTCCTCGGATTTCGTACAGACTTTGTACAGCGTAACGTTTTGCGTCATACTGCGGCGGTGGTATATGTTAAGGAGTTGTTCTGCACTTACATTGCTGCTTCCAACTAAGGATGTCTTTGCTTTCATTTATTTCAGTGCAAAGGAACAATCGCGGTAAAGATCGCTTGTTTCTACGACAGGGAAATCCCATCTTTGACTTCTTTGTTGGTTTATATGAAGGAGGTGGCATCAAAGAGGTATAATTCGGGCGATAGAATGATTTTTTTTTCTTTTCCTTTTCAATTGTCGTTGGAGTTGCAGAATTATTCCAGTGATTGATGACAGTGGAACACTACTTCACTACTGTTAACTGTGCGATCATAGCGATCCAATCTAATGGGGTGAACGATTCATCCTGTGACCCTTAAGAGTGACTAGTATCTAATTTCTCCTTACAATATCACCCCTTAGTTAAACGTTAAGGTCGCAAGAACAGAGGAAATAATCACCCACTAAAGAGGCCCTTGCTCGTTAAACAAGTTCTCCTTAGGAAATGCATAGAGAACAGTATGGATAATATGCATTGTGATGTTTGGGCGTGAAGGGTTAATTGAAATCCTGTGTCAAGCTGACACTAGCGACAGCAACCCGTGCTAGGCTCTGAATTAGTGGAGACAATGACAAGCAAGGGGATGCAGCTGTTACAGCTGTCAGAAAAACGGCTGTATCTCGTATTGCATTTTTGTAACGCTCTCGCTTATTTCGGGAACGCCATTTCTTGGGTTCTCATTCCTTTCGCCCTTCTCCACTGTTTGAGATCCGGGAACAGGCGCCAACGATAACTCAGAGGTTTTTCGCTTAGGAGAAATTTCACATTATTCATCAGACGTTTTAAGTTGTCTCCTTATTTCTTTGCAGGCGGTTGAAATCGTGGCTAATCTGAGTGGTGGCATGTCGGGAAAAGTAGAACCAGACGATGTTCCTATTTTACCGTACAAGTAAGAATGAACGACTGATCTGTAACCATCTGAGTAACACTGCTAATGGAGATGTGTGCTTCAAATATCACGCGATTTTTACTTTCGCTATAAAAACGTATACCTGAGATAATGACATTGACCGCGTTTTTAGATCCCAGAGCGTAAACTAGCCTTTCGAAAATTGTCTTTAAACAATCCTACAATTTAATTAAGGGTGGCGCCATTTTTAATCTCTCAGCAATCTGGTCTCTTACCTGCCCTGGTGATTGGATTTTCTACAAAGTTTGTGTTCACTAACACTAAAATAAATATGAAATGTATAGGAGTGCTATAACTAAGATGAAGCAGCTGAATGGGTAGTTTCCTTTGGATTCGAACACATAAAGTCGTGGGGTTGATGTAAACTGATTGTGGAATCAATAGACAAAATCATTTTAACTTATCCTCGACTGTTAAGGGACCCTTATTTACCCGATCATACTTGTACCTTATTGCAGAACTGTTCCATCTCCCATACCTCAACTTTACGACTTACGGGACAACCGAACGATAAGGTAAGATACTCCTACGGTTTACTCTTTAACCCTCTAGAGTGAATTGCATCTAATTTCTCCTTACAATACCAACCCATAATCAAACATTAAGGTCATGAGAATAAAGGAAATGATCACCAACCCAAGAAGCTTTGATTGTTAAACAAATTCTCCTTGTCAGTACCAAAGGAGATGTATATAAAAGATTATGGAGATTATGGAAACTGATGTTACATCCTGTTTGTTAGAAGAGAAGGCGTCCTCCCATGATCCTGTTGCATTTTGCCCTTCCCACTCCTTTTCTGTCTTTGTCACTGAATCTCTTCGAACAGTACATGATTACGTACATCCCAAGAGTGTATTTGTTAGCGTCGTTTTTTTTTTTTAAATTGTTTTAGCTCATCGCCGTAGTGGCTTTTGTCTGCGGCGCGTCGTCGTCGATGAATCTTTGTCCGCGCGCCCTTTTTCTTTGTCATCTTCGTTGTTGTCTTTTCCCCTCAATCTACGTTGGAAGGTCTTCGTCGGAAGGTCTTCGTCGGAAGGTCTTCGTCGGAAGGTCTTCGTCGGAAGTTTCCGTTGTGGCTCTCGCCTTGTCAAAGCTACCTTTCTCTTCATCGTCGATCACTCAATCGTAATTCTACAAATAAAACTTGTCGTGATGATTACTTATCTACTAAATTCTATGCTTCTTGGTTTCAGTGTCCTGTTCACTGATCCTGTTTACGATGACGATCATATTTTCAAAGCAGATGTTTTACCCAATGCACAGTAAGTCAGTTTTAATACTTAACAGCCGAAAACGTTAACCCTCTCCCAATTAACAAAATGTAACTCTGAAAAATTAAAACCTTGTCAAACGTTTTATCTACTTACGAAGAAAATAAGCGTAAAATTCCTGAGACAAAACGTCCCAAAATCGTTTATGCTAGAATTGGACGAAAATCGAACCTTTCCCGTTCCTTTGGGGGATCCCTCTTCTACATACCGCACCGCTCCTTTCCCTTCCCTTGTTGGGTTGTCAACAGACCCTTCACTCTGAGAAACACCTTCCTTTCCTCCCCCCACCCCTGTAACTCAACCAGGACTCAGTACAAACATGATGTATGTCAAACTAAGCTAATGTCGAAGCGCCTTTGATTGTTCATTTTAATGCTCAGACTTCCAGCCCGTGTTCTGAAGCCTGAGGGTTATGACAGAAATGCTCCATATAGGCCGGTCACGGGAATGAATCCTAACAGGACGTCGTTCGCTCAAATTGACAGCGCTGGAAGAAGAATGCTCAAGTAAGTGAATTGATGGTGTTAATAAGAAAACCGAAAGACCTAGCATAAACAGGTACTCAGGCACCGACATAGAGTAGCGCGCGCGAAGAAAACGCGCAACGTGCAACAGAGGCACTATCCTCTTTGCGAGGGGACTTGCATCGCGCGTGTCGCTCAAAAGCAAGGGCATGCTTGTGACATGGAGTGACGACTTTACATCGTGAATACTTCTCATGATTCCCAGCTAGTTCACATCTATTTATATATATTTTCTGAACCACCGTACTTCCCACCATCGACCATGCAGAGTCTGTTCAACATAAACGAGCGTATTGCTCCTCAAAATGTTTTGCAACTGGCAAAACATCCGCGCATATCATGTCAAACCATTGAATAAAGTGTTTGTATTTGTTGCCTCAGTTTTCACGGAGGTGAGGTCTTTCGTCTATCTACACCGGGCAGTCACGCTCCTCCCTTCAGGTCATATTCAGTCCCACCGCAGAACTACCCTAGACATGGTCACCCTCCTCATTCAAGATCCATTCTGGGTACTCCTCCATCATCACGTGATTACAATGATCCAAGACGAAACAACTCTTATAGGCAGCAGGCACCGCGTCACAATTCAGGCGGTTACCAAGGAAACAGACCTACGCCGTGGTCTCATATGCGGCCTTCTTATCGGGAACCTGGGCCAAATCAGCCCCATTTCTCGCGCGGTAATTATAGCAACTCACCACGGGACCCGCGGGAAAATCAAGACAATCGGTACCGGGGTGCCCCGGCCAGGGTCAGTATTCTCGCTGGTTTAGCTGGCATTGTATGAGTTATGCTAGAACAAAGTCAATCATTGGTTGATGCGTTTGTGATTTTCTCTAATTTGGCTTTTGAACATTTGTTTGTTTTGTTATACAGCATGATCATCGCCAGTCATACCAGCTCTCCAACTACCGCTACAGACCTTACTAACTGAACTGCGTCGCTATCCTCAGCAACCAATCATTAAGCCAGCAGGAACGTAGTGGACTACAAAACTCGTGGACGGGGATCTGTTCAGTAAAAGCTGTAAGAACACAGTTCCGCTTCTCCGTCATTACCGAGGCTTTACACAACGAAATGGCTGGTTTCCATTACTATATCAATAAGACATTTATGCCTATGATTTTATCTGTCAGCATCACTTCTTTTTGTCCTTAATACCCTAACATACGTAAGCATAATCTCCATAATGGCCTCTAAACATTTCCTAACGTGCTGACAAGGAGAATTTGTTTAACGATCAAGAACTTCTCCAGTTGGTGATCATTTCCTATATTCTCATTACCTTAGTGTGTGATTCGGGAGTGGTAATGTTGGGAGAAATGAGATGCTAATCACTGTTATGGATGAAAGGGTTAGCTTGAACTTAGCGAAAAGGAAGGTATTTCGTAATTTGCCGGCGACTGTCAGATAACTGTAAACTAAACTTAACGAAGACTTCACGTACTAGATATTTGAGCCGTAAAGTTTGGGGCGACATTTACGGCAGAGTTTAAAGACTCTCGTGTTTATCTTTTTTTCAGCAAAATTTTTAATTTCATGTAAATTGGGACTTGCATTTAGTTAATTCTTGCACAATTTCTCTACCAAGTTAGTTATTTCAATTGAGGTCTCCTTTAGGTATTTATGCTTTAAAAATCAATACCAGGACTTATGTAGCATTAGTAATTCTTTTTGTATGGCACTGTCACCTTATAAATCGGATTTTTATAACGTTAAAGACTCCTGAGTGAAAGCTGTTTGCCAGGTCAATGTACAATAAAACACTTTCCCTTCTGCTTTTGAATTAATTCTTGCCGAGACGAAAACTGAATTTAAAATTATACTAGTCTGATATGCGTTTTAAAGTTGACAGCGTCCTGAATCATTTTTACATTGTGCATTAGTAAAGAAAGAGAATGTGAGAGAGAGGGAGGATTTGGTGAGTGCGCCTTTGAAAATAAATTATTCCCATATTCCTACGAAACAATAGAGGCGATCTTGATCCTTTATCATCGGTCTCTTTCAAAACCATGACATCAAATGTCCTCTTTTGTTTGTTTGTTTGCTTCCTATTTTTTGTTGTTGTTGTTGATCCAATTATTTGTCTATCGGCTTCAACGCATTCTGGTTTATACCCAATTCACACCAAAGCTTAAACATGTTTTAAAACTGTTTTCTCAAACTTGGCTTTAAGCTCTGTTTAGACAGATGTTTGTCGACTTCCAATTTTATAGCACATGGAAAATATAAGTCAGTGATGACTTGAACCCATGAGAAAATTCAGTTTTTCAGTAACCTGTGTCTGATTTTCATTCTGTTCAACTTGGTTTAACTAAACGTGTCTTGCTGGTGTGAATGGGGTATATAATGGTTCCTATGTCTGGTACAAACCAGTTGGGTTACATGAAGGAAAAACTTCATCTGCTCTCCAACATGTGCGTAGATCACTGGAAAAATTGTCAAAATCATTCATGAGCTAGATTATACTACTACTGTTGTCATCAATGCAAGGAATGACGATACTTTTCAGGAATTGCATCTAAAAGACCTACAGGTGGAAAAAATTTGTGTATTATTTGTAAACCAGCACTTGGGGACAGAAAAATAAGGAGACTATTTCAATCCTTTATCAACGTTGGTTGCTTTTCAGAAAAGCGCGAGAAGTTCTTAATTCCGATATGGGGCTTAAATTCTTTCATCCAATTATCTACTTTTAACGCGGCGGTTTTAAGCGAAAAATTCAAAAATATAGTTACCTTTCGACTCCATCCAGTCTTTACTAAAGAGACGCGCGAAGTATTTCTACATTGTGTACGGGACAAAAAAAAAAAGAAAGAAAATATTGTTAGTAAGAAAATGCAGTGACTAGAGTCAAACAAAATCATGTGACTTGGAACGTACCTGCCCTGTGTCACACAGACATGTGGTAATCACGTGGCCCGGACCAAGCATCTCGGCGACCTGTGAAAGAGAAAGACATCGATGAACTCATTTGAGTTCTAGTGGAATACTTTCCGAATAAAAACAAACAAACACTTTAACTACCGAAGGTGCATGGGCGATTTTATGTCGCAATATTGATGATATTCTCAGAGAAGCCTCTGTTTTTGTCCATTTCCTCGGGCCGGGGTTTTTGATACCCAACTGATACTAATCCTTAGTAAGAGGCAGAAAAAACCTATACGTTGCCATGAAAGTTAAGACTGGATTGGTGCAGGAGCCCTCCTGATTGTTGCTAATTGTGTTGTGCCCCTAACAACTCTCTCTGGCGGTTTCGCCGCTCGTTCCGTCAGGCTACTCTCGACACGGTCCGGACTTTACACGACCATATCTGAGATACACATGACACGACCACAGCAGCTACGCTGTATTGTTATCGTGTATAAATAAATGCTTTATTATCTTTGTTATTATTACTATTATTATTATAATTAATACACCCTAGGCAAATTCACTGATTTAAGCTTGCAGAAACAGTCAACAGAGCTATTAAGATTGAAAGGATGAAAAGTCAATTTACCTTCACGGCTGCAGCAACGTTTAAACCAGACGAGGCGCCTACAAAGAAGCCTTCTTCGTGAAGCAAATAAAAAGTCTGTAGAAAAAGGTTGAAAAATGCTTCATGACCAGGTGAAAGACTTTTTCAGTTTTATCAACAGGATTGATAATATTACTTGGCCACTGTTAAGAGATTCTACAACGAACGTTTCGAGCATTAGCCGTTCGCTCCGACCGACCGACCGACCGACCGACCGACCGACCGCCTTACTTACCCACTCACTCACTCACTAAGTAACTCACTGACTCAATAATAAATTACCGAGTGTTTTACCAACATCCCAAGTGGGTTATTACGCCGATAAACCAATAGAAAACGAGCTCCAGTCCTTTTTTTTACCATAAATCTGCCAACATTCTATCGCAAATGCTGCTTTACCATCGATTCCGTGATAGATAATTAGTAAAGTGGGTAGTAAAACATTGCGTGGTTGTAAACAAAATAAGATAATATAATATGAGCATTTCCTACTGATATGTTTTAAGCGACGTGTAGATTTATACTTCAAAAATTAGATTATTCTCTCTCGATTGGTATTCGTGTTGGGATATGAGGGCTTTTCCCTCATCAACTATCTCGTGATAGAACTCTCGAGCTCATAATCTAATCGTTAATTAAGATGGCAATGAGTCTATCGGTAGGATAAACGGGAGACTTTGGACATATCAGTACGCGTCAAGTATCTCAGCTACTTGGTAAAAATTAATGAACAAAGGTATCATCTGCGTAAATCAAAATAGAAACCAATCAAGACAGACACCAATCAAGTTGTCTAACCATCTCTACTGCTTCTTTATCAGTCACAAACACAGCATCATCGATTGGAGCCCCGTTTAAATTGCTTGTTACACGCCCCTGTCCAATTCCTGGGGAAACAATTTCAACATATGACACCGAACAGATAAAAACAAACAGATACCAAATAATTTTCTATAAGATTACATCTCCTCTAAATGATAAGTTACCATATTCCTATAGCTAAGGGGCTTGAAAACGTGGAGTGTGTGGGCAAAGAGTCATTTCGGTTGAGATCAAAGCCGACTCTTAAAAACAGATAAGTGTGGTCGTGGCTTAAGTTCCGGTGAAAAAGCGTCTCATCCTGATGGAGTAACAAGTTTTTATAGAAGTTTCGTCCCATTGCATCAGTTCCCCCGTTCTAAAGGTAGGCGTATTGTTGTTTCGATTCATGCGACGTGTTAAGGGATGAGAAGTCTGTCACAGTGACGGGGTTTTTCGGAAACATTTTCCACGTCACACAAATCGTAACAGCTCCCTAAAAACTGGATTAATGTTTATTTCACCTACAAGAAAAGAATGAATTCTGTTACCTTCGGTGATAGAACTTCCATCACTTCTTTTTAACTCGCCAGTTTTGATGTAATTGTACAGTACAC